CTGCTTCTAGACTTTCTAAAAACAACATTGGCTTCTGCAACAGGAATGGGCATCACATGATGGGAAAACGACCATGCACAAGAGAAAGCAATTACAGAATAAATTGTGCAGATAGGGACTACCTTTGTTATCTAACTGGAAGTAATATTCTATAGTAGAGCTCAAAAGACAGTACCTATGTTTTGTCTTGAAGAGCTCAAATGTTCTAAAACCACATTTAAACCTGTGTAAAATCAATGGGTGCTAAAGAATTACATCAAACTGGTCAACTCTGACTTAAACATACACAAGTGGAGAGGCAGGAGAATAGCAAAATTAGCAAAGTGTCACAGAGCTGCTATTAAGCCTGTCAATTCCCAATCCATCCTCATCTTCCTTAACCTAACGACCTTTATAGACTGCCCAATTAAAAATACCTCCAAACTCAGAGAGAACAAAGGTTAGACCAGACAAAGAAAACTAATTTCACACTCAGAAAAGCATGTACCCATGCCACCAAGCAAGAATACCTATGTATACTTAGCAAGAAGACTATCATATATTGACAAATATTGTACCTATACAGTTCACTTACACTCTTTCACAGAAAACCTCCACAGTGCACTTTTACTTTTGTGCTGAAGGTCTTTAAGTCATTAAGCAGAACTTAATGACTCTTCTCATATACATTATTCTGTTGAGTAACATTGGAGTTATTACCATGTTGCATTCTAATATGGTGAATGTAAAGCAAAAAGTGCCCACTTTCTCCCAAATGCCCTGCCTACTTTCGAAATTGCTGATTGGCTGCTCCTAATCGAATTCCACAAGCAAGCACTGAATAAGCCAATCTCAGCAGTGTTTTAAAGCACTTACAGGACACCCATTCACAAATACAAGAAACACAGCTCACCTCCTACCAACATCCTAGCATGAGGACAGCAGGGACACTGCTCTGCAGCTTTAGAGACATTTCAATGACAAAGGGACCTGGTCAGTGCAAAGGTTTGGGTCTCAGAGTTACCAATATTAGACAGACACCTTGAGGCTCCAATTGCCACCTGCAACTCTGCCTTTGTGTTCTGGTACCATTCTGCCCAGAAGCATTTATTAACTACAAATGTTACATATAACTACAGCATGTTTATAAAGCAATGTGCTCTCCAGAAAGAAGGAATCTTGTAACATTTTGTCCGTTCAATGACTATTTTTCATTACCAGCACTCGAAGAAGTCACAAAAGATACAAATTGCTGTCAGGCATCATTTCAAAAGCAGCCCAGCAAGTCCAATATGCTTCAGCATATTGTGGTTTCCTAATACATTTGTACCAGTTTTGTTTACCAAGCAGTACACAATCCAAACTACACTCAACTAAATACAATTTAGATAGGAAAAAAAGCAGCCAACTGAAATCACAGATGTGGGGTACTGACCTTCACTAGAGAGCTCAGCCTCAGAAACCTCACTTGCTTCTGAGGAGTCATGCTGAGAAGAATCTGAAAGAGAAAGATAGAACTGCTCCATGATTGACATGGACAGCATTTTCAAACAAACCTTACCCTGCAAAGTAAAACCTTACAAAGGGAAAACTATTATCAGAACTCTGAGGGCCGCTTTCTAAAACATCAAGTGAAAAACATATTCCTGAGTGCACAGAACCTTATATACGTAGACAGATGAATGAGTTCCTAAACCAAACCAAACCAAACCAAACCAAACCAAACCACAGAATAATGGAGAGGTACACAAATAATCCGAGGTGAAGCATCTTTAACTAGACTAAACTGAAGCACATTGATGCGTTTTTGTGGAGAACCAAACAGAAGAGATCAGGAAAGGACACAACCAAAAGATTCCAATTTCCTGTGCCTCTAATTTCGTCGTCACGTCAAATAACAAAAACCAACAGTGGTAATCTATGATGATGATTATACTGCTGCAATTCATCTATGCAGAGAGTCCAGAGCTCTTAAATGAAGGCTTGCACTAGCATGATTCATACCTGCAGCACGAAATTAGAGAAAATCATCTCATAAAACAAAGCAGAGTGACAAAATCATCTTGAACTTTGATCTTACCAGAATTGAACTCTTCTGCTTTTCTACTCTGACTATTGGACTCTTCATTAACCAACTGGGTGCTCCTCCGTCTCTTGTTACGGTATGCATATGGCTGGTCAGTATCTAAAAGCAATCAAAGAGAAATAACTTGGGCTTTAGTCCAGGGAATTAATGTACAGCACTCTAATTGCCTTGAATTTAAAAAAATCTAACAAGAATCAGGAATTGTGTCTATGAGGGCATAAAATTTTGCAACCATTAAATTACATAAGTAACTTCAGAAAGCTCCTGATCTTACGTGCAAAGGAAAAACTTGTTCCTTCAAGAGGGCCTGAGCAAAGCACATGACAGTAAAAAACAAAACTGCTTCTGGACTTCCTAAAGAAAACAACATTTTCTTCTGAAACAGGACTGGGCATCGCATGATGGGAAAACGACCATGCACCAGCAAAAGGAATTACAGAATAAATTGTGCAGATAGGGACTACCTTTGTTATCTAACTGGAAGCAATATCATTCCATAGTAGGTCTCAAAAGACAGTACATAGGTTTTTTCTTGAAGACCTCAAATGTTCTAAACTCACTTCCAAAGCAGTATAAAACCAATTAAATTCATCAAACAGGTAAACTTAACTTAAACACACACAAGTGTACACACAGGAGAACAGCAGACCAAGCAATGCGTCAGCGAGCTGATGAGCTCACCTCCTACCAACATCCTAGCATGAGGACAGCAGGGACACTGCTCTGCAGCTTTAGAGCCATTTTAATGACAAAGGGAACTGGTCAGTGGAAAGGTTTGGATCTCAGAGTTACCAATATCACACAGACACCATGAGGCTCCAATTACCACCTGCAACTCTGCCTTTGTGTTCTGGTACCTTTCTGCCCAGCAGCATTTGTTAACTACAAATGCTACATATCAATACAGCATGTTTATAAAGCAATGTGCTGTCCAGAAAGAAGGAATCTTATAACATTTTGTCCATTCAATTACTATTTTTCATTAATAACAGTAGAAGAAGTCACAAATGATACAAATTGCTGTCAGGCATAATTTCAAAACCAGCCCACCATGTCCAATATGCGTCCGTATACTGTGGTTGTCTAATACATGTCCACCAGGTTCATTTACCAAGCAGTGCACAACCCAAACTACACTCAACAACAACACACAATTCTCTTCATTCAGAGCCAAGCAATGCACCCTTTGGAAAGCACTTCATGGACAGAAAAACTGCCCAAAAAACCTGAAATTAAGGACCCATAATACTGACCTTCAAGGGTGACCTCAACCTCAGGATTCTCATTTGTTTCTGACATGTCATGCCGGGAGGTATCTGAAAGAAAATAAACAGGACTGCTCAATGATGGACAGGGTTAAGATTTTCAACCAAACACTCCATGCACCTGCATCTAAACCACCTTTGTCAAAGAAAACCCTTGCATTCACAGCATGCAACAAAAATAACTAAACAGATTTTACCATGAGCCTTTGACAATTCCAGACAAAGGCAAGGAAGGGAAGATTACACTTGCTAAACTGCACATACTACACTGCAGAGTTCCTGCTATGACTGAAGGGAATTCCATCATCTTGGCTTTCTAGGGTTGATACAATCATAAGTATTTTCTCCTCTCTTACCCACGATTACTCAAAATATAAACAAAGGCTACCTGTCCACACAGATTCAGTGTTTTTTTACCAGCTCTACACACTTATGGTTGCTGTGCCATCAGGAGTTCCACAATAGGCTTCAAGGCCAACAGTCAAACAGGGGAGGGAAATTCATCATCACAATGCTTTTGTTGGGGCAGAGTGCACCAACAAGACAAGCAGGATTAGCCTATCAACACTCAGGGTGAGAAAGAGCAATTTATACTTAACTGCACTACAGTTTAACAAAGGGAAGCTAATTGTACCAGGAACTCTATCCAAATTAAGCAGCAGTGCATGAAGGAACAGATTTTAGCTATTCTGGCAGAGTAAAGCTGCACTTGTGCATTTCAAAGTGTATCTTCTTTCACATCGCTGTAAGCTGGAGTATGGTATCACTTTGGGAGCAAGTCTGAAGGAATCTTTCTTTCAAAGATTTCTCTTCACATGATGTGTGTGGTGTAGAGCAGAAATCCAGCTCTATCTACTGGGACACCTCAACTGCAGTACATTTGAACTATGTCAAATACATCATCCAGTTCATGGAAATCAATATCAACTTTTGGTCTAATTTCAAGGCAGTGCTGGGCACAAAACTAGCAAATGGTAAGTACTACAAAAGAAAGAATTAGGAGTTGTTTTACTAGACATGAACAGAAAATACAGTCATAAAAAAGCCGGTCACATCAACTGATCGTTTAGAAAAATTTTGAAAGAATTAAATAAGATTATAGCAATTTAAAATATACCGCTTTTTTTCAACATCTAAGAATAGCCATGACACTGGAAGATGTTCTATCTAGTCTAGCAACAAATCCCTGACAAACACTCACAGTTAAGAGACTTGTGCAAAAAACTCCTAGCAGATAGCAGCCAAGTTCTGGAAGAAAACTCCCAGATGGGACATTTCTCATTAAGACACATTAAACCAACAGCGTTAAGCACTGAGGTAATATTGTTTAACAACATATCATCATCATTAGTTCTCCTCTAATCTTGAGTAAACACACACAGCTCCTATCTAAAAAGCCTTCTTCACAGTTCTAAAGTCTGTCATTCACAAGCTCTGGCTACAGTTTCTCAAACATGATTTTGCTCCTTTCAAAACAATTTCTTCTGACACACATAACCTCAACTTTCTGATTGCTGAATTCCAATCACACCGTGCTACCCACTCATCCAATCTCATTAAGACCACACCAGAATCCTTCATCAGCTACAGCAAACCTCGGAGATTCCAGGCACTCCATAGTTTTGTCACTTCCCTTTTCACCATCTTGCCAAGGTTACCAGAGGGGAAAAACAGTGAAAACCCCCAGGGACATAAAATAAACCAAATCTAAAGGTGTTCTTTGAGGGAAACCATCACTCATGTAAATCTCTATCACTGCCTGTAGCTTACAGACAAAATTCTGGAAGAGCATTAAAAGCCTCTTCTCTGTATTTCTTTACTAATACACAGATTAATCCCAAGACTACAAATTTCAAACACTGCCACTGATTCACCTGTCTCACTCTTTTTTGTGGGGATCGGCAACAAATAATTTAATTTTTCAGAACCCAGACAAGGCTGGGTTCTGAAAATAGGCATACTCTGCATGCCTATTTAAACCATAAATGAAATTTAAATTTGATTGTTACCTGCAGTTTTCAGCCACTGCCTCTAGATATAAATACCAGCCTTTATGAACAAAAGATTTCTTCTATTTTGTTGTATATAGGTAAAACCTTACAAAGGGAAAACTTCGCAAAATCATGCCTCCTACTTTGGCTAAGCAGAAAAGGACTAAGGGAAAGTGACTCAGCTGAATTCGAGACAGAAAACATGTTATGCAAACATGTTGTGTTCACATCATGCTGTAAGATGGTTGGTTGAATTATGATTCTTATGATTTAAAAGGATGTAACGAATAACCAGCTATCTGCTTTAAAAGGCCAGGTTTTTACAATTAAGTGGCTCAGCTGTGCACCTGCCTGGGGGCCCTGCATCACTTTAGACCCTGGTCTCACACTATCCAGTAAAACCACCTGCAACTTTCCACACTTCTCTTGCAGAAAATTGTGAAAACTAACCGATCTCAGAAAAAGCTGTGTTACAAAGCTTTACTTTGACTCCAAGAGACACACTCGGCATCTGAAGCTATAAAATTCTAGTCAAAACCAAGGCACAGTCAGAATCTCCATCACTTCATATCACACTTCCCCTTCCGCACACTCCCTCTTCACAATCACATATAAAGCACATGGCATTTGGACATGGAACTTGTTGCTATAGACAAGCAGAGGTGTTAGGGCATAGGTTGGACTTGATGATCTTAGAGGTCACTTCCAACCTCATTATTCTGTGATCCTGTGATTTTGCTGAGGAAAACAAACTACCTACATTTCTCTCCTCCAATGAGTTCAATTAATCGTGCAGTGCAGCCTGCACAAGCAACGAACTTCATTCTCCTTAATCAAGATAATTGCTGCTGAATGTCATGTAATGGTACCCTTAACTATGCTGATACCTACCTT